ACAGGTTAGAAATCTAATTATAAAGTTGCAAAGACCAAAAAATAACTGCATGTTCAAAGGGACAAGTTCATTTAATAGGTCAGCTGGACATGCTGCATTATATCACAGGAGACAGAGGTTAAGAAGTGACCTTGGGATCCTCTCTCCAAATGTCTGAAGGGTCCATTTCTTTATTGAAAGTATCTTTACTTTTGATAAATACCTGGCTTACTACCCAAATGATACCTTTGACCTTATAAGACTCTACTTAAAGCTGTTTTGAAATGTTAGGGCTGTAGATAAAGCAAAGAACATGCAACATGCACAAAGGGTCAAAATAGACTCCTTCCCTTCAGTGCAATACACAAGGTTAAGACACTACTATCACACACTCTTAAGTTTTAGGATTTATTTTTGAGAGATTTTAAATGAGAAATTCAATAAACCTTAAGCACATATTTTACATTATTTCAGATCATGAAAAAAATTTAACTAATTTGTAATACACAATAAATATACTCCACAAATAACTATGTATAGATAAGATATATGCCCCTATCAATTCCTTTACTCTTTTAATTAAAAATATATGTGTCTTCTGGTCATAAAAATCTGGTTTTGCATGTTTTAAAAGTTCTAATATATATTAAGCTATGCTTTGCTTTGGCACTAGCTCCCCCTCCAGACCAACCTACTAATATAACTGCACTTAAAAAAATAAACAAGGAACACAAGTTTAAAGACATTCTAATTCCTAAAGTAACTTATTAAAACTTGTAACCAAACACTACAGAATGTAATTCCAATTGTTTTTTCAATTCCATACATCTCACATAGAACTGACCTGTCAGAAAACAACTTCAAGTGACTCTTTAAATTTAAAAATATGCTATAATACAATTTATATAGTGCTATTACTTTATGGAAATCATTTTTAATCACTATCCTAATAAAACACAATATTCTCTTAATGTTAACTTACTGCTTGAGCAAAGATATATTTTTCATCTGGTTTTGCAATCTATGAAAGTTTCATTCCAGCTGTTAACCTCTTCAAGTACAATTCTCACTTTATAAAAGCAACAAAAGTAAAATCCATGCCTCCAAACTACCCTCTATGTTCCTTATAGCCTATTTGTTTCTCTCTACATTTTTGCATAAAATTACAACTTCAAATGTTTTAATTCCCACCTTATTCTTACTATTCTAATACTTATAAATCAAGTAATTAAGACTTCCTGTAACATTTTTATGGTATAGTTCACAGGGCTAGCAATGTGCAGAGCCTTACTGTTTGGCAGAGGATTTTAGGTTATTTTTTAACTGCTTTAAACAAGGAAGAATACAACTTAACTTACTCCATTATTTCAGTATAGTTCTGTAGTGCTTAATTTCTCTCCCAAATGTTTTCCTATACGATGTATACTTTGAAAGAAACATGCATAAAAACATGAAATATATATTTAATCAAGAAAATAAGTGTGCACTTAACCCCAGGACTAAAGAGGAAAAAAAAAAAAAGCTAATGAAACGTTGCCTACAACTCCTAAAGATAGCCAAGTCAAAGTTCAGTCAATTACTTGTGATGAGTTTAGTTCTAAACTGAGAGAAAACTTTTGTTGAAATCTGTTCTGCAATACCTTGAGGTCTGGAGTTATCTAGCGTAGATTCTGGCTTTCCTGGGTCTACCTTCTTGAGTTGGCTTAAATTAACCGTAAATTAATTCAAACATGGGAAAAAGAAACACCTCTCTCTGCCTTTATCCAAGGCCTCAATCAATAGGTGAATATGCGGCAAAATACTGAAAGTTCACTAGGGATAAACCCTAACCATGACATTGCCATGTATTAGCTTAAGAAATACACTGCGTCTCTGACGCTCTGTGTGACCGAAGATTGCAGTCCCCACAGTGAGAGAACAGGTGCTGCACCCGACAACCCACTCAGTCTTGCAGGACAAACCTCCCATAACTATTAAATATGAAGTTTACTCAAAAGCCCTCGGCTCATCGTTTCCAAATCAAATGGGGGCCGGTGGGCGAGGGGACGGACGGCGGCACTCACGCTTTAACTGCCGGGGCATTGGCCCCTCGCCGGGAGCGGATCTTTGTACGGGTCCACTCCCGGATTTCTGGCCCGAGAAACCCTCAGAACGCACTGCCTCCACCTCCTCGCTGCCCACTACAGGGACTGAGTTGCTGGCGAAAGGGCAGGTAGGTGGTGAGGAGAGAGGAGGGACAACACCCACCCCCGCCCCCACCCCTTCTCCTCTCCTTGGCTTCGGCCCCTGCCCTCAGCTGGGATGCGCGATGCCGAAAGCAGCGGTGGCGCCCATCAGCGTCCCGGCAGGGGCGCCGGGTGCCCCTCACCCCCTGCCCGCGCCCCCCGGACCGCGCAGAGACACCCGCCAGAGCGTCCCGAGGGCTCCCACCCCACTTTTCCCGGAGCCGCGGGATCAGCAAGCAGCAGTTGGAGCAGCAGGCCCGGGGACCGCCTGGCGAGAAAGAGCAGCGACAGCCCCGTCACATCTCCGGAGCCTCCTCAGATCCCGCGCTTGCTAAGCCCCAGCCCCCCGAGGCGCGCGGGCCCGGCTCCCATAAGCCCCCTTACCCGAGGCGAGAGCAGAAGCGGTCTCCGCGGTCCCCAGTTGCCGCCGCCGCCACAGCCCTCAGCCGCAGCTGCCGCGCGTTGGGGAGTGGGAGGGGTGGCTGGGTGGAGGATGCTACTCCCGGCTGAAGGGAGAGGAAGAAACGGAAACAGGAACCGCCGCCGCCGCTTAACGGAGCCTTCGGCGCCACTGACTGAGGGAGAGCGCGAGGCGGCGCGAGCGGGGCAGTAGCTGACAGCGCAAGACCGAGCGCGAGCCGGGTCCCGGGCGCGCGACCCCGAGCAGCGCCAGCCCCATTCCGCGAGAAGAGGAAGGGGACGGGTTGGCTGAGGGCTGGGAGGAGGTGGCGGTGGGCGGGAGCCTGGAGCTGAGGGAACCCAGGCTACTTCGGTCCGCTGGAGATAACGCGCGCACGCGCCGGAGCGGCTCTGACCGGGAGCGCAGGCGGGGAAGCCTCGGCCAGCGCAAGCGTGCGCGCGCGGATGGGGTCGCGCGCCCCTCAGCGTTCCAGGCCCCTGGGATAAGGCGCGCATGCGCCGGCCTCTACCACCTACGGCTACCCTTGTATGTGCCAGGGCTAGAGCCCACCTCCTTTCTACGCGGGTGGATAGCGTACCCGCAGCATCCACCGCCCGGCAGAGGCGAGGGCCTCAGTGGGACCGGGAGACTTCCAGCAGGGCAGCAACTGCGCTCCGGTGCCGGCTCCAACACGAGTGTAGGCCGTCCTCTACCGCCTGAAGGCCGGAGGCTGAGGAAGGCGCCAGTCGAGCCAGACTCCCTACCGCCGGGAGCGCCATCTCCAGAGAATGCCGTATTCTCGACCGCTCAGGAACAGCCGTGCCAGTTCAGCCCGTGCCCCTGAGGAGCAAGGTATTGTTGATCTGGAGTAGGCTCCTTGCTACTTTTTGGGGTGATCGCTGCTGCTCAGCCCCTGCAACCTGGAACTGGCCACTCGGCTTGCAGCTCGCGGCGCCATCGTAGAATGGTATCGCACCCACATGCAAGAAGCGAAGCCCTATTGTATCTTTTGAGAGCTGTTTCCACATTCGCCCCACAGGACTCCCCCACGAGAGCCTGAGTTTGATGCCTAGCCTCTTTCCCGACCCACGGCTGGACAGCCCCTCTGAAGCGGAAGTTCATTCAGTACAAGGAAGAGAACATTGGAGGGTGGGGGCTCCCTAGGATGCTTCCTACCCGCTCGGACTCGGGAAACTCCTGGCGCCCGTGATGCAGAGCCGTGGGCCGAAGGGTTAGCTCAGACGAGTCCATACAGCAGGCTGAGCCTGGACCTGAGCGCGCCGCCGGGGCACACAAAGTCGCGAGCCGAAGTGGGGAGTTGAGTGGGGGGGAGCGTGCCACAGTGGCCAATCAGGGCCGCGAGCAGCGTGAGTGGAGTGCTAACCGGCCAATCAGACGGCCGGAGGATGAGCTTCCCGTCCCCAACTCTTCCCTGTAGCCTCCAGACCCAGATCCCAAGCCTGGAGCTCAGTACCGCGGAAAAGCTAAATGGTGCCCTAAAGACAGAACAATTATTTCTCTAGACTTGGTGTTTTTTAAGTAAATGCCTTGGGTACTTAACCCAGAGCGAATAGCGGCAGCCTTGTAGATGCTGAGTATGAAAAGGATCACAGAAAAGAGATTTAAGAGACAAGGGCCCGCCAGGACTGCAATCTGCCTAATAAAATTCATAAATTTACAGTATTTATAGAGACTACATTGTATAGGCCAGGAACTGCATTACAAATACAAATAATATTCAAATAAAAAAATAATTCTCCTCAAGAAGCTCAGATGCACTTAAGGGAAGTTTGCTGGACCTTGTGACTCTGGTATTTGTCAACCCTCTAAAAAAAAGCTCTCCACAAAGTAGTCCAGTCATTTTTATGATTGGTGTCTCCCTGTAAGAAGAGAAAACTGAGAGAAAAGCAAAGTAATTTATCTAAGGTCACACAAAAAATATTCTTTGCCAGAATTATATTCTAGCTCAGAGGAGATGGATGTCATCATTCAACAATCATTTATTGAATGCATGATTGCTCTCCACTAAAAACGTATCTTCACTAAACGTGGAAACAACGAAATTGTGCTGTAAGGGCCACATGCTTTGGTTGTTGGAAATAAACATAAATTTTAGGTTTATGACATAGATGGATTAAAGGCCAAAATCTTAGTCATACTTTTGATAATTTTTAGAAGTCAGAAGTGAGGTGGATTTTTTTTTTAGTTAAACATTTTAGAAAATATTTTAGCAAGCATGCTTAACTTAAAGGGTTACCTTGTATAATACTTAAAGGTCTACACATCAAAGCTTTACTCTGCATTTGCCTGGAACCATTCAGTTATTATATAGCCTTCATTTTTCCTTTCCAAAAGCCTTGGAATTAAAATACTTACTTTCTCTACTTTCTAATGCTCAAAAAAATAAAAAACTGACCTAGGGATGTTTGTCCAAGATTTAGCACATTTTTATGGGACAGAATAGTTATTTCAAATACCATACAACTTTGGTTTCTCTAGAATACACTCAGAAACTAGTTATTTAGTGATTCCATTTGTGCTCTGCTGAATCAATGTGCTTCTCGGCCTGGGACAGAACACTTATCAAAGCCCGTTCCAGAACATGTGCAGGATTAAGCTGCCCCCATACTGGAAGTATCAGTTAAACATCTGACTTTTTAGAACAGTCTTTACAATAAACCGTCTTTATTCATTCCAGGCCAGTAATGAAGTTCCACAGAATTCACAACAGTCCCAGCTTTTTAAAAACACATTTCTTTTACTCTCTCCAAAAAAAAATTACAAAAACTCTGCCTTTCTCTTGCCAGATTAAATTTCTGAGAGAGAAGGTATCCCAAAGGATTCTAAACATCACTAGCCACCAGAAGACAGCTCTATCAAGGGATGTTTTCTCCAAAAGCCCCAGCCCATTGCCTAGCACTGCTGCTGAGCCCTCTGGTGTGCTCTCTGTCTTCTCACCTCAGCTGCCTGACTCTGCCTCTCATCACTCCTAGTTTCTGATACTGTGTCTTCTAAGCAAATAGAAGAACTCTACCACTTCCTCCACCCCTCCCTCACCAACTAGGCTTTAGGCTTATCTTTGCTTATCCAAAAACTTAGAAGTTCTGCTAAAAAAAACATTGTACAGTACATTCTTAATGTGATATTGTACAGAAAGCTATAGAACCTCGTCAACACCTTATATTCTTTTACACAGTCTAGGTCAAATTCTTAGTCATCAACTAGAGTCAACCATTAGACAATGGAAAAGATGAAAGTGAAAGTGAGTACACCACTAGTCACTTTATTGAGAGATTAGCTAGATCAAAGTTAATGAACTTGAATACTATCACATTTCCAAAATTGTGAACGTTCATGTAGGAACTAGTTCGGAGTTTACTACCATTTTATTAATGACTATAATAAAAACAATAGCCAAGGTATAATATTGCAGAGTGCCAGGAGCCATGATAAACTCTTTCCTCCATCATTTAATTCTCAAATCAGCTGTTTGAGGTAGGTCCTCTTATTACAGTAGGGAGATCTATGAGGACACAGAAGGGTTGAGGAGGCCCTCAGAAAGTTGAGCAGCTGCTCACCAAATAATGTAGAAATTTTTCCATCTCTACCAATGGGGACTGACTCAACCTGGAAAGTCTTAATAATTTTTTATTGTTCTTGTTTTCTAATTACTGTTTTACCTACATTTTACTTAAAAGGATTCCATTTTCCAAGAAATCATCTAGTCCATAAAGGACAGCACTGTTACTGCTACATGCAAGACAATATGATCTTGAGATAAACACTTTATCCACTTGGCCCTTAGTTTTCATAAGTGTAAAATAAAGGAATTGGTCTAAATAACCTTTCGTTGTGTGTCAGTTCTAAAACTATAAATTGAAAGGTGACACACCATTGACAGTAATCACAACAATGAAATATACAAAAATAGTCTAGTTTCAAATCTAATGTTTTAAGTCACTTCTGAGCAAACTCCGTAAATAGATATTCGACCGATTAAAGAGCCAGGGCCAGTCTTTCCAGTCAGAAGAGTAAACAAAGTGATTGATTTAAAGGCTGATGAAATTAGCTAAACTCCCCCTTCTTATTACTTGCCTCCATAGCTGAAATTTGTCTTCTCCATCAGAATGAAGTATGTAATTCCCACTGTTGATTTCTTATTCAACATCTACTACTATCCCATCCTTATTAATACAATTCCTTTTTTTTGTTTGTTTCAATTTGTGTTTTAGGTAACCAACTCTCAGCTACAGAAAGACAACTTAATTAGCCTGAGTCAATCAGTAAATTAATTCCTTGTATGACAGTATAGGCTTGTAATGCTTACCCTTCCTTTCCAGGGTATAGAGATTTTCACACATTAACATCCTGACCACCCAAACCCACTGTTGCAGTGGACTGAACCATGTTACTAATTAGAGCCACTAGTCTATAGTAGGTTGTGGGTAAAAGTCATGTGCATCACTTCCAGGTTAAACATTTAATTGCAAGTATAAGTCCTATAGTGTTTGTTCTATCCCATTCTCAAGACCGGTATTATTGAAGATAATAAAGCCTTTGTCAGCCTAGGTCCCCAAAAAAAGAATGTGGAACAGCCCACCTCCCACACTCATCAAGTCAGGATGGATATACAGTTTGAGTAAAAAGTATACCTTTGTTGTTTAAGCCTCTGAGATTTGGGTGTTTTTTTTTTCTGTTTGTTTGCTTTACTGCAGTATGACCTAGAATCTAGGTTATACTAGGTCCTAGACTTTTCTAATTCTAATTCTAATTCAGGCACTTGCTAATACACCTGAAAACCATTATAGTCCTGGGAGAAACTGGCCCAATCAGACTGAGGGAAGGAATTTTAGTCCATGCTTAGGGGAAAAGATTCTCTTTCTTACTCGGTATGAAAGAGTCAGCCTGTAACCCAGATTGCCACTGGCAGCAATCTTAATCATGAGAGGAACTAATAGGAAAACAAAGTCAGCACACTGAGAATGGCAAAGAGAAAAACCCTTGAAGATAGGACTGAGCTGATGGCTGTATTGCTCCTGAAATCCTGAAAGTTACTCTTCTCTGGACTTCTAATTCTGCAAAATAATAATTCTGTTTGTTTTTCCAGAACACTGTAAGCAGAAACTACATTTTGAATATCTTTAATTTCATCACTGTTCCTTACACAGGTGTGGCTAAAGAAGCACTCAAAAATATGGAATGGATTAAATATTAAAAAATAATAGGTCACATTCTTC